GTATAGGACACACAGCTCAGTCTTAGGCTCCCCAGAGAAAGTGACCCTAAAAGTATTTGTTAGCCAAGAAAATAAAGGGTGTCTATGGATATGGATGGGCATGTCAGGCAGGGATATACTTTGTGAAAATACATAGAGAAACACAGTGAAAATACATAACAAGAGCACAAAATGGCAAAGAATCATAAGTTCTTAGGGTATGGCTGCCAGAGAGAAAGAGACACACACACAGAGAGACAGAGAGAGAGAGAGACTTGGGAGGGGGTGGTGGGGGCAGGGATTGAAGCTGGAGTAGTAGGTGGGATCTAGTTCATGGAAGGCTGCCCTTGGATGCCAGGCTCAGAACCTTGGACTTCATCCCGGGTGCAGTGGGGAACCACTGAGGGGCTGGAAAGCAGCTGCTACGATCTGATTATGGCAAGTTTAACACCATTAACATATTTTCAGTTCATCCGAAACTCAAATTTTGTCATGTAAAGATTTCAGATTTTCTTAGAAGCAGTTAAACCTGTTAGATATTTATAAAGACTTGCTGATGGTTTGATCCAGGTCTTGAAACTGATCTTTCATCTGTCTTGACTTTCCAATGGAATGTGGAAATTCTGAGTTTCATCACAAAGATTACCTTTTTAAAAACTCAAAGGGAAACAGCATGTATTTGGTTTGGATCACCATATGGGAACCTCAAAGGAAGCAACACTTTCTGATTTTAAACTGTGAAATGTATTGTTAGAGAACGTTAATGGGTGCTTCAGAGAAATGGTTCCAGATGTACCTGCTTCCTTTAAAGACCCAATTAAGATGAAACCTCATTGTCCATTTTTATTCTGTACATCATAAGAGAGAAATATCTCTAAGTTTTGGGCACAATTTAAGACTTCTGATTTTTATTCTAATTAAACTAAGGAATTGAGATTTAATTTGATTTAGGAAACAAAAAGTCAAATCACCCCAGTCATTAAAAACACTTTTGGGTTTTCAGAGTAATGAGTGAGTAATATTTAACGTATATATAGCTTTTCTTTCTCAAAACTCATCAGATTGCAACCTCTTAATAATGTAAGGTTTCTTAGTCATATGAATAAGAAATTATTTTCTTGGTCAACTATATTATATTTTCAGTTTTAAAATACTTCAAACATAAAAATACAGGGAATAATATATAAATATCTATGAATATAGAACCCAGATTTAAGAAAACTTGAACAAAGAGAAATGTATGCCCATGTTTTTGGTCAAGAAGAACATCATCATAACTAGGTTGATTCCTAAGTTTTTATAGAGGAAATAAATAAACTAGGGTTGCCTAGAAAATTCAGAAAAACAAGAATAATGTGGGAAGACTAGCTCCACCATGTGTTAAGAGTTATTTAAAAACTATAACCATAAAAAAGAAACAAAAGAAACAAAAAAAAGGAAAAAGAAGAACACACACATGTATACAGATCGCATGTGGATGCCCAGTTGTTTTAGCTCTTTATACTGTATAGTCCATCTTTCCTTACTGATATTCAATGCCTGCTCTGTCCTAAATCAAGTTTATATTTATATGTGCATTTATTCTTCGTTCTGTATTCTGTTTCCTTAGTCATCTTTGCATTTTCTGCCCCAATACTACATTATCTTAATTAGAATAGCTTTATAAAAGATTTTAATTTATGAATGGCCAAGTTCCCTCAATTTACTCTTCTTTAAGAATGTCTTAGTTTTTATTGGCCCTTTGTTTTCCATTTAATTTTGTAATCAACCCATCAAATTCTATCTGCTGGCATTTTGTTTATTAAAGCATTAAGATTGTAGATATAGATCAATTGGAGAAAATTTGACAACTTTATGATGTTGAGTCAGTTTTCCCTTTCAATAACATAGCCTAGTCCTCCATTTATTTAGATCTTTAGCAATATCTTTCAATAAAGTTTTATATTTTGCTCATTGAACATCTTATATCTTGTTAGATTTATTTCTCGGTACTTTATATTTTTGTTGCTGTTGTCAATAGTATCTTGAGAATTAATTTTTCTGATTGTTGCTGGGTATGGAAATGCAGTTGACTTTTGTATATTGATTTGGTAACCATCAATTTTACTCTAATTAATTTTAAAAGATTATTTCTAGATTCTTTAGGATTTTCCAGGCATACAGTCCTAAAATATGTGAATAATGGCAGTTGTTCTTCCTGTTTATATTCCCCCCTTTTTTCTTGTCTTATTGCACAGGAATAGAGCTCAAGTATAATATTGGACATCTAAGATATCTTAGATGGCAAGTTCTTGAAAGCCCATGGTTACATTTCCTGGTACTTAGTGCAATGAATCTATTGCATTCAGGAATTTCAGAACTGTTAAAGGGGTTCAATAGTACATTTCTCTACTTCTTATGTGTGAAAACAAGGTAATGTAATCATAGGTGAGAAACTGCCCTATTTTAACATTTTGCTCTTCTTATAAGGAATTTGTCCTTTTATATTACTAGTTCCTTCAGGCTTGTCCCTCTCGCTGCTTTTTGCCAAGACAAGAAAAGTCCCTGCTTCAAAGATCTTATGGAAAAGTAGCATTTGAAATGTAACCCTAAAATTTAGGCTAATTCTTATAAATCGAGGCTGGGTATTACTCGTATTCCCACTCCACCTGGGGTGAGGGAAAGGGCTAGCTACAAGTAAGACAAATTCCTTTGAAGTAATGAATAACTCCCAAAGAAACATTGGCTCACTGCTTTATTACAGCACATCTCCTTTTTTAAAATTTATGTATTAAGGAAGGCAGTCAAGGTAACAGATGGGGAAAGCTTCAAGCCTGACAGTTATAAATAGTCTTGCAGTTTATTCCACAATATATTTGCAATTCCCTTTCTTTGCCATTCTGAAAGTTGGATCTCTGTCAAAATATTTTTCTCTTGACCAAGGAGTACAAATCATTGCCAATAGATTAAAATACTGAAATAATGGAGTAGGGCTCTCTGAAAATTTTACTTATGTTGCCAACAGTAATATACCGGGTCTTTAGAGAAACCTCTTTTCCAGGGATCAGGTGGATTGGGGAACCCTTTGAAGAAATCAGCTGTTCCAGAATTGCTTTTGTTTCTTATAATCAAAGTAATACTTGCCTAATGGCCACTGCATTGCCAAACACTAGAGGGACACAGAGATAAGTATTCTTGTCTTTAAAAGGACAGTCATGGAGAGAAAGCATTAAAGAGATACAGAAGCTAAATAGTAACAGAAGGCAGTGGAACATCAAATGTCACAAGGCATTATAATGATGATTATAAATTAGAAATATCATTTGGTTGTTTGAAGTGTATTGTTGCAATACTGACAATTACATCTAAAAGAGCATGAAAAATATTTTGAATATTCAAAACATTACACACAAAGCAAATATATAATTTTCCTTACATAACTGGCATTTAAGTGGTGCAAATTTAAGGAAAACCTGTCAAACCATCAAAGATTTTTTTAAATGGTGATATACCCATTGCCAGGGAGGATGTGGAGAGCCGGGAACCATTAAACACTGTTGTTCGTGTGTAAATTAGTAGTCATTCTGGAGGGCAATAAACCCATAGCTGTCAGCATGTCAAATGCTGGTCTCTTTGTCCTGACAATTCTGTTTCCAGTAGCGGTGGGCTCAGTAATTTGGATCAACAACTCTCTCTAAGAACAACTAGAAGAGCAAGGCAAAGTATTTTCTAAAACCAGTTTTAAAGGTAAAACAGAGCTGCTAGGACAGTGAAGAATTATGGGGCCAACATCCAGGAGAAGAAACCAAGACAGTTAGATTTTGGGGGGAGGAATGACTCTTTATTCTTAGCAACACTGACTTCCTGGTAGATCAGCAGAGGCTGAAAAGTTCAGCTGAGTTAGGGAAGAACACGAAGGAGTTAACGAGATGCCCCAGGAGAAAGGGCCCCAGTGACCCCCCAGGCCTCAGCGTGGGACCCCCATTTACATGAACAGTATTTAAATATGAGTAAGTGTGGAAGGATTGGCACCAAAGCCTAATAATAATTATCTTTGGGTGGTGGGATTATGACAGAATTTCTACTTTTTTGATAATGTTTTTATAATGATCATGTATTTCAAGTGGGGATTTTTCCATTTTTTAAAAAGAAAACAAAACAAATTAGTACTTTAAAGGTTTGTGTTCTGTGTTGACCCTGGGTCCATAATGGATGTGTAATAAGGGATACTGTTTAGTAGACTCCATTATCTGTCTATGAAAGAAACTGCAAAGTAAGGTCGGATTCCTCATACACTGGCTCTTCCTAAATCTAGGGAAGATCAATGTGGACAACGTCCCTTGGAGCCGCATGGTGACTCATTTTATGGGGAGCCTCAATCAGGGATCACTCTTATTTAGAGAAATTACTTTCCTTTTTAAGAAACTTAAGGATAACCCTGGCTTTGTGGCTCAATTGGTGGGAGCATCATCTGGTACACTGATAGGTCACAGGTTCGATTCCCATCCAGGGCACATACCCAGGTTGCTGGTTTGATCTCCGGTCGGGGCGCATACAGGAGGCAACCGATCCATGTTTCTCATATCAATATTTCTCTCTCCCTCTCCTCTTCTCTAAAAAAATCAGTGAAAACATATCCTTGGGTGAGGATTTTTAAAAACAAGAAACAACAAAAAAGAAATTAAGGATACAGTTAAGATTGGGTTAAATTTTTTCGTTGTGTTTTTTTTTTCCTGCTAAAATGTCCATCTAAATTGCAATATAAGCTGGTCCCTAAAGGTAAGAAACTAACAGTGTTCCTGTTTCTAAAAAATAAACGAAATCTTCAGCCTGGTTAAATGGCAGGTCCCCCAGTCCAGCGTAGGGGGTGGGTGCAATCATCTTGGGTGCTCACATTGGTAATGAGTTAATAAAGCATCATTTGGGTAATAAAGTTTTAATTGTTTATATAGGCGGTGCAATCATCTTGGGTGCTCACATTGGTAATGAGTTGTGGATAATAAAGCATCATTTGGGTGATAAAGTTTTAATTGTTTATATAGGTCGAGAGATCCGTCTGCCCCTCCGAATCAAAGGGCAAGGAATGGGACCAAAGATTCACTTCAACTTTGAATTGCTGGATATTGGAAAAGTTTTTGTTGGATCTGTACATTGTTATGAGGTAAACACTAGAATTGTTCATTGAGCGTCAAATAGGACTTGGCTCGCTTTGCTTTGTCTGTGTCAATAGAACATTTGCACAGTCACATCCACTTGCCATTACTCATACTTATTCAGACCCCAGAACGATCTCTTTCTCCTCTTCCCTAGCCTTGTTGAGCGGAACAACTTTTTCCATTCTCTTCCCACCCCCTCTCACTTGACTAAACACATCAAAGCCACAACTTAATTGGTTTTATCCTCATCATTTTGTAGATTATAAAGAGGAACTCCATAAATACATCTCCCCATCTGTTTAATGCTTGTTCTCTGACAACACAAATCCTACAGATCAGAGGATAGAGAACCTTCTACATTTTCCAGAATGTCCTAATGAGGATCGCTGTTTTCACACCTCAGACGTTTCTCTAAATACAGCCTCCAATCCATGATTTAGCAACCAATCATTGGGTTTTCTGGAAGAGACCTCCCTGCTTTGTCTTTCCAAATAAATAGAAAATAATACTTTTTTTTTTTTTAAAGATGTACTCATGGGTTCGTAAGGATCAAAGTTAACTCAATGCCACCTCATCGTAAATTTTTATCTAGGACACATTTTTACAGTACCAAACTATAACCATTGGAACTTTATTTTAGAAAGATTCCAAATTGTAAATGTTTGTATTTCTATAGAGGTAAAAACAAAAGCAGTTATTATTTCATGAGTGCTTGAGGTTTAATTAGTGTGTCAGGTTCCATGCGTTATTATGTGTGCATGTCAACATATAAGGGTATCATTTCTAATCCTTACAAAGCCATGAAAGGTAGGTGTTATTGTACCTATTTTACAAAGAAGAAATAGGCAGATGGTGGTGAATTCTATCTACAACATCACTCTTCATGCGTGTTGAGCACACATGCATCATTTGTTCATTTAGTCCTCACAAACCCCCTATGGAGTAGCTACTGTGGCTATACCCATTTTATAGACGAGGAAACTGAGGCCCAGAGTTTTACTTGTTAAGGTAATTAATGTTAGACACTATAACAAGCAAATATAAAAATAGATATTCTCTCAAAATAGATAAGAGTCTATGTTGTTGCTTATATAAAGTCCCAAACAAGGTTGCTAATCAGGAGGTGACTATCCTCCAGCAGAGAATGAGGAGCCCAGCCTCCTTCCCTCTCATGGCTCTGCAGTCTCATAGGTATCACACTGGCAGGAGAAAGCACATGTAGGGTTTCACTTGAGGGATTTTTACAGGAGGTAGCACTGGAGACAGCACATATCGCTTTTGTTCATGTCCAGTTAGCTGGCCATAACTGCAAGGGTGGCTGGGAAATGTAGTTTGGCTGTAAACACCAGAAGAAGAGGATATGGGTTCCATGAACAGCAAACCTGACTGCCACATTAGTAAGTAACTGGCAAGGTCACATAGCTTGTGAATGTTCGTAATCAGTGGGTTTTAGGGCCCTATACCCTGTGGGAAGAGAAGGCCTGCTGGCTTTTCTGCCTCCACCTCGATCAGATGCGAATCCAGCCAAGAGCCTACTTAGCTCTCAGCCCAGCCTAACCTCGCATGGGAGGGAAATGCCTGGCTGCTGTTGAGAGCTTTCTAGAGCATCATTCATCCCCATGATGAATAATTACTAGAGTAATTGTGGCCTAAATGCGATGATGTGCAAGGTAAACAGAGATGTTAACGTCATGATGAGATGGAGTACACATTAGAGCCCAATTTAAATAAAGAAATCCGTCACAGGGCTGTCATAAAATGAAAAGTGGCACAGCTACTTACATTGCATTGTCCTGTATTGCATTTTGAAAAAAATGGTCACTTAGGGATGAAAATTAAAAGGCGCAATAGTTCTTACTAAATCGATACTCTGTTTGTAATTTATCCAGCGTGAATTTCCCTTACATCTTATAGTCTGTGTCTTACAGATGCCACATCGGAAAAGGACCTTTAGTTCTGATGCAAAATGCATAGGGTTTCCCTGAAGGTAATGATAATTTCTTGCAGATTTAACACAAACGTACCGTAGGCCACCACTTCTCACCCTCCCAGGTTTGAACAGTAATGCATACCGCAGCCAGGTAAATACGTGTTAAATGAGGCGCAGCATCCGATTGGGCAGTTTTGAGAGCTGTGCCCTGGCAGAGAAGGGCATGGTAAGGTGCTTCTCATGAGAATATTTTGCCCACTCTGCATATTTAATGCTGATGCCTCGTTGCATCTCTCTTTCAATTTATTACGTTACCTCCTCGAGACACATTTGAATAACTATTTATTGCCCTTAGTCATCGCTGAGCTTAGCAGATCCATAAAGAATAAGCCAGAACCCCAAGAGTACACACTCTCCCCAGTGTAATTAGAAGGAAAACAAATGGAAGGGGAAGTTCTCTTATACCTTTTCTCTGCTCTGAGGAGTTGCACCGCATGGGTAGGAGCATCACCGGTAATCAAAAGGTCTCAGGTTGGTGGCCCAAACAGTCTGGCGGATTCTGTACACATAAGTAGGTGCTGCTTTGTCAGGGGGAGAGAATAACATGCACGTTCTTGAAAACGGGGGAGCTAGCACCTTATAAAACATTGGTGTTAACCAAAAAATAAAAAGACAATCCGTGCCTCTTCTCAGAGAGAAGAACAAGGGTCCTTCGAGGTACCACTAACCCCTTTGAGTTGCCTTTGAGTTACCACTGGGGCGTGTCAGTTTCTTCTTCAGCACAGGTACACTTCAAACCCATTCTGGTTAGCACGGGGCAATGGATAGGAGTCACTGTCATTGAAGCATTCTTTGCCAGGCACTATTCTAAAGGTTACATAAATTAACAAAGTTCATCTTCACAGCAATCGGATGGGGAAACCGGGGCTTGGAGAAGCAGAGCATGTTACCCAAGGCCACACAGCTGGTCAGTCAGTGGCAGAGCTGAGATTTGAACCCAGGGATTTGGCTTCTGAGTCCCTGGTCATAATCACTTTTCTACATGGTCTCTTTCAAAGGAATGAAGGGTCAAGCATGATTCCTATGACCAGGGAACTTGAAACAGAGAGAGGGAGATGGAACATAAATGTAGAAAGATGAATAACATATCAAGTAGCAATTAGTTGCATGTCTGTTGTGGTACACTGCCTGTCTGCTCTTGGCAGAGTGGCTGTCTTCCTCTGCAAGAGCCCCTTACTCTGTCCTAGCTCTTGGTTCCTTCTTCTCTGCTTCTCCTGAAGCAAACTAAGCTGGTGGACCCCCATATCCATCAGACCCCATTCTCTTGGTTAGCTAGCCCTCTTCGTCTATTACAACAATAAACACGGAGGCCAGGCACCGAGTATGTATATCTCATTTATTATAAATACTAGAGGCCGGATGCACGAAATTCATGCAAGGGGCTCGTCCCTCACAGCCGTGGCTTCGTCCGTAAGGTCCTCTGGAAGGTTGTTCAGCTGTCGGGTCTAATTAGCATATTATGCTTTTATTATTATAGATACTAGGTCTCCTCTACCATACCTTCTCACAGCTTTGCCACCTCCATTCTCACTTTTCACCACTAATCTTCTCTAAACAGAATCCGGAATAGTCAACCACTATTTCATCTGCACCTACTCACCCCACCCCCCCAAACATTTGGACTCTGGATTCTGCAATCATATTCCACTGGCATCATCCTCTCTTCTTCCAGGGCAGTGATGACCTCTAAGTAAAAATACAAAATCTGTAACATTTCCTCAGAGCTTATTCTCCTGAACATCCATCAACCCTTTTCTGGAAATTCTCCTCCCTTGGCTTCTAGCTTCCTGGCATGGAAAGTAGGTTCCACATACCTTTCTGAATGGTCTTCAGGATGCTCTGTGCTCTTTTCCCTCCAGTGGCTTCAGTGTAGGTTGAGGGCCGTTCCTACATACACAGAGAGAATGTGTTGTTCACACATTCAGGTGTAAGCATTGGCAAGGAAGAGATTGTATCTTGGAAGCTCGGGAATAGAAGTGTGTGGCCGCAGTACAGGTTCATGGACAGGAATTGTGGGAGGGAGCAGGAGTGGTAGACTGAGCCAGCTGAGGAGGACTCTGATTGTCAAGCATGAGATTTTGATACATACCTAGGGTGCATTCAAATACGGGTAACGACCTGGTTCCAGAACACTAGTCTATAGAAAACGTTCCTGTAGTAAAGCGATGGCTTGCATAGGCATACCCGTTCCTACATACACAGAGAGAATGTGTTGTTCACACGTTCAGGTGTAAGCATTGGCAAGGAAGAGATTGTACCTTGGAAGCTCAGGAATAGAAGTGTGTGGCCGCAGTACAGGCTCATGGACAGGAACTGTGGGAGGGAGCAGGAGTGGTAGACTGAGCCAGCTGAGGAGGACTCTGATTGTCAAGCATGAGATTTTGATACATACCTGGGGTGCATTCAAATATGGGTAATGACCTGGTTCCAGAACACTAGTTTATAGAAAACGTTCCTGTAGTAAAACGATGGTTTGCATAGACGTATCCAGTGGAGTTTGAGATGAAAATATCCCAATAGGGTGAAATCTAATACCCCGAGGAAGAGAATCCTTGCAATCTGGAATCCACAATGAGGTCATATTTATATTTATCAAGCTACATTATAAACATAGGCTTAGGTAGTTCTTGCGCCTCTATTCTGACTTGCTTTTTATTTTTTAGTATGCCACTTCCTCTCAGCCTCCTCGTGCGTATGAGAGAAAAACCTATCTTCCTTTGGTTACTTTATAAAGAGTACCCAAAAATAGTACAGTGGGGCCTTGACTTACAAGTTTAATTCGTTCTGAGACCAAGCTCGTTAACTCAAATTACTCTATCAACTCAAGGCAAAAAATCAGCCGAGAGACAGCTGGTATCTCAAAAAACTCGTTAGTCGGGACACTTGTAAGTCAAGGCCCCACTGTATTTTAAGGCTCTTGAGTAGATGCGATTGTGATCAGTCTTTCTAGCATGAGTATCAGACATATGACCAACTCTATTTTAAAGATGAGACGAAAACACAAAATTACTTCCTGGTTTGGGACTCTTATCTTCAAACATTCGAGAGAGAAGACTGTTCATTTCTCCCCGGGAGTTTCCCTGTGGTTCTAATTCCCGCCACTGTCTCTGTGTCGGTATTAAATAATACAGCCGCATGCTTACATGAAAGTAAATCTGAGGCCCATTGTCTACCTTTTCATTCTTGCCTTTTTTATCGGTATAGGCAATACTTTCCAACAAAGGCAGCATCGACGCCCTGTTCAACGTGATCCCCTCGACTTCAGCGTTGGGGGCCTGCTTTGTTTTCAGCCCCAAGGAAGGCATCATCAAGCCAAGCGGGGTCCAGGCTGTCCAGATTTCCTTCTGCTCGTCCATTCTGGGGCACTTCGAAGAAAAGTTCCTGGTCAGTGTCAATGGGTCACCTGAGCCCGTGAAACTGACTATTAGGTAAGACCTATCTGTAACTACTGTGGTAGCTAGCTGAAGTTTTACCTACTGCCTTCTTAAACTTCGTAACTAGATCATCTTAGACATCAATAACTGTCTTTGTGATATGAATACATCAACGGAATGGGGTATTTTAAATTTCCACCCATGTTTCCCTACTAAACATGTGTAACTTAGGATTGCAACATGGATACAGATGCTGCTTTGTTATCCAGCTGGTTTTTTTCTTCCATAAGCTATAACCTTATAAAACAAGGACTTAATCCATTATTAAATAGTTTCTTGTTACTCTCTCTCTGTTTTAGGCTGTTTAGGGAAAATCATCTCTTTATTATCACAGTTTCACTAAGTCTTCGTCTTCTGTTTTTATTTTAAGGACATTCTTTAAATGCTCTCATCTATAATGCCTACAGGTAGTAAAAGAGCCTGCTTACAGTGTCTGTCAGTCAAGGCTAGACATTTGCAGCTTTTGTGCCAGAAGTCTTTTGATGGCTTCTCCAGCTGCTTGTGATAATTGAAAGTCATTAATAGCAGAGTTTGTCCTTGGGCTTTAAAAAGAAGTTCTCTGTGACCAACCCATTGGGAAGATCTATAACTTGGGTTCCCGGTGCTTAGAAAGATAATATTTTCAGAACACATTGCAGATCCCATTTGGATTCTCAGTGTAATAGGTTGTTAATTACCATGGCGGTCTCTCTCATTATGGTTACTGCTAGCAGGACCTCCCTCCACCTATGGCTGAGGTCTCCCTCGGGGTCTGAAGATAACATAGAAAAGAGACAGACACATATGGCCTGAAGGATCCTAAGGGGAACTTATTGATTGTAGGATATCTACTAGAAATATAGAATCTCAAGATCAGCTCAAAAGTCATTACCATTACTTCTTAGGTCACTTTTCCACCTAAGTATCCCTGTTATAGGGTGAATTGCATCCTCCCAAAATTCATATGTCGAAGTCCTCCCACCCAGTACCTCAGAATGTGACTGCACTAGATAATATCCATTTAATACAAAGGAAGACAATAATGGAGGAATAGAGGAACAAAAAAAGACATTAAAACATACAGAGCAGTGGTTCCCAACCTTGGCTGCACATTAGAATCACCTGGGAATCTTTTTTTTTTTTAATATATTTTATTGATTTTTTACAGAGAGGAAGGGAGAGAGATAGAGAGTTAGAAATATCGATGAGAGAGAAACATCGATTAGCTGCCTCCTGCACATCTCCTACTGGGGATGTGCCCGCAACCCAGGTACGTGCCCTTGACCGGAATCGAACCCGGGACCTTTCAGTCCGCAGGCCAACGCTCTATCCACTGAGCCAAACCGGTTTCGGCACCTGGGAATCTTTTTAAAATCCTGATTGCTGGGCCTCATCCTCCGGAAATTCTGTTTCTTTGTTATGGGGTGGGGCCACAACATTAGTAACAAAGAAACAGAATTGCCGGAGGATGAGACCCAGAAATCAGGATTTTAAAAAGATTCCCAGGTGATTCTAATTGCAGCCAAGGTTGAGAACCACTGATATAGAGAATAATAGTAAAATGGAAGACACAAATCATTATCAGTAATTACATTAAATGCAAATATATTAAATACCTCAATTAAAAGGTAGAGATTAACAGGGTGGATTTAAAAAACACACACAAAAAAAACATGACCCAACTGTATGCTATCTATAAGAGACATATTTTAGAGCTGAAAGTATGAATAGATTAAAACTAAAAGGATGGAAAAAGATAGACCATGCAAACAATAACAAACAAAACAAGACAAAAATAAACACACCTGGAACTTCTATACTAATAGCAGGCAAAAATAGTCTTTAAAACAAAAATTGTTACTTGAGACAAAATAGAACATTTTACAATAATAAAAATAAATTCATCAAGAAGATATAACAATTATAAACATATGTGCACCTAACAGCAGAGCCCCAGGATACATGAAGCATAAGCTGACAGAACTAAAGGGAGAAATAGGTAATTCAACAATAATAGTTGGAAATGTCAGTACCTCACTTTGAATAATTGATAGAACCACTGGGCAGGAGACCATAAAGGAAATAAGAGTTGAACAATATATCCTAGTAAACCAACTAGAGCCAACAGACACGTACAGAACATTCCACCCAGCAAGTGCACTTGGAACATTTTCCAGGATATACAATATGTTAAGCCATCAAACAAGTCTCAATACATTTTAAGTGATTTGAGTCATACAAATGTGTTTTCAACCACAAAGAAATGAAATTAAAAATTAAAAATAAAAGGAAATTTAGGGAATTCACAAATATGTGAAAATGAAACATCACCAATGGTTCAAAGAAGAAATCACAACAGAAATTTTAAAATATTTTGAGATAAATGAAAACAAAACAGAAGATGTTAAAACTTTTGAGATGTAGTGAAAGTAGTGTTTATAAGAAATTAATAGCTGTTAAATGCTTATATTTAAAAAGAAGAAATATTTTAAATCAATAATATAAATATCTGCCTTAAAAGCTTGAAAAAGAAGAAGCAAAAAATTCAAAACAAGTACAAGGAAGGAAATAATAAAGATTAGAATGAAAATTAATGAGCAAAGCAATAGAGAAAATTAATGAAAGTGAAAGTTGGTTCTTTGAAAAGATCAACAAATTGACAAACTTTAATGAAACTGACCAAGAAAAAAATGAAGAAAAGCCTCAAAGTACTAAAATCAGAAATTAAAGAAGGGGCATTATTACCAACCTTACAGAAATGAAAAGAATTATTAGGGAATTTTACGAACAGTTGTATGCCAACAAATTAAAGAATCTGGATGAAATTGACATGTTCCTAGAAGGATACAGAGTATCAAAACTAACTCAAAATAAATAGAAAATATGAATAAACCTATAATAGTTTAGGGAGATTGAAATAGAACCACTACCACCCCCACCGCACCCTGACACACACACACACACACACACACACACACACACACACCCAGGAACAGATGGCTTCACAGGAGAATTCTACTGAGTGTTTAATGAAGAATTAACATCAATTCTCCACAAATTATTGCTTCCCCCCAAAATAGAAGAGGTGTGAACACTTTCCAACTCATTTTCTGAGGCCAGTATTACCCTATACCCAAATCAGAGAAAAGTATCACGAGAAAAGAAACTGAAGACATTTACAGACACAAAAATTAACAAAACACTAACAAACCAAATCAAAGCAGCAACTTATAGAAAGGATTATACACAATGACCAAGTAGAATCTATCCCAGGAATGCAAATTTGGCTCAACATAGGGAAATTATTGTTATACAGCATAAATTATTAGTAGAATAAAGGCCCAAAACCATATGATCATCCCAATAAACGTGGAAAAAGTACTCACCGAAACTAAGCACCCTTTCATGATTTAAAAAGATAAACAAAAACAACGAACCTCAACAAACCAGGGATAGCAAGGAAATCCCTCAACATGATAAAGAATACCTATGAAAGACTCACATTTAACTTTATGCTTAATGGTGAGAGACAGACTGCTTTCTCACTAAGGTCAGGAACAAGACAAGGAGGTCTGCATTGCCACTTCTATTCGACATTGTACTAGAGTTTCTGTCCAAGGCAAGTAGTTGAGAAAAAGAAATAAAAAGCATTCAGATTGGAAAGGAAAAGTAAAACTGTCTCTGTTTGCAGATGATGTGATTTTGTATATAAAGAATCTTAAGGAATACACACACACACACGCACACACACACACACACACACTCATAAAGAACTAATAAGTGAGTTCAGAAAAACTGCAAGGTATAGGATCAACATACAAAAATCAATTGTGCCTGACCTAGTTTGGCTCAGTGGATAGAGCATCGGCCTGCGGACTGAAGGGTCCCAGGTTCGATTCCAGTCGGGGGCACGTGCCTGGGTTGTGGGCTCTATCCCCCAGGTGGGGGATGCAAGAGGCAGCCTATAAGTGATTCTCTCTCATCATTGATGTTTCTATCTCTCTCTCTCCCTCTCCCTTCCTCTCTGAAATCAATAAAAACGTACTTTTTAAAAAATCAATTGTATTTCTAGGCAATAATAATGAAAATTCAGAAATTAAGTTATGAAAATTCCATTTACAATAGGTTCAAAAACAATAATATAGTTGGAAATACATTTAACCAAAAAAAGTGCAAGATTTGTACATTGAAAACTACAAAACAAGACCTAAATAAATGAAAAGACGTCTATGTTCATGGGTTGGAAGACTTCATATGGCAATACCTCCCCAAATGATATGTAGATTCAAGATGATCCCTATCACATATCCCAGCTGCCTTTTTTGCATTAATCGGCAAGCTGATCCTTAAATTCATATAGAAATACAAGAATAGCTAAAAACAATTTTGAAAAAATAAGAACAAAGTTGAAGGGCTTTTGCTGTTCTATTGATTCGTCAACTACATGATACAGTTTTTTAAGTAGCTGGATAAACAACACTGCAAAATTAATGTGATTTTAAAAAATTACTCATGCACAGTATTCTTCCTTCAAATATTTATATACGTAATTTTATAAAGTTTTAACCGTAGCACAGATATATTTTGTCTTCAAAATATTTCACTTAACATGTCATAGTAATTCAATCGCTCTAACTTTTAGTTTTTATAATTTTACCAGACCACTGCAGTGATGGAGGGCACAGTCTTGGCAGAGACTGTCCTAATATTCAGAATCCCTGTTAGAATGAATGTGACCATATCTAAGTCCAGATGGTACTCAGCCACAATTCCCTCGTTGTGTGTGCCTTCGAACAAATGTGATTTAACTCTGGTTCTCTCTACTTCACTGATTATATGACTGCTCTGTGCAAATTTGTAAGCTTCTTTCTTACTTTCTTTAGCCCTTTGTGCCTTTTAGACACTTTTGATCTGTTATTTTATCCCCCTCCTCCCCGCCCCCGAAAAAAATTCTTTTACAAGTCAAGAATTTAATCCATAGGCTGGTTTGACTTCCTTCTCAGCTAGATCCTAATTCCTTGCTGAGTACCAGCCATTTCTTTTGAAACCACATGTCATTATCATGGTCCTGAGAAAGGCTTTTTGAATGGAAACTTGCTGCATTGAGTCTTTGCTGTCATGGCTCCTCCCACACTTGCAGCCTCTCACCACATTATGGTCAGCTCTGTAGCAGCCAGTATTGCCAGGGCACCAATGCACTCAGCATGGTGAGCCACACCTGCATCACCAGTATCTGGAGCTGGGTGAATAAGGAGATTTATGCCTAGGTGTTGGCTGGTATCTGCGTGTCTAACATTAAATGCCTGGCACACTAGAAGCTGTAGAATCTATTACAGACATATCTCATTGTATTGCACTTCTTTATTGTGCTTCACAGATGTTGCGGGTTGTTGGTTTTTTTTTTACAAATAAAAAGCAAGACCCCAACCCCCACCAGCAAAAAGATTACAACTCACCTTATTTTGATGCTTGCTTTATTATGGTGGTCTGGAACCAAACCCGCAATATCTCTGAGGTATGCCTGTGTTTATTTCATTATTTTTAAAATATTTTTTATTGATTCCAGAGAGAAAGGGAGAGGAAGAGAGAGATAGAAACATCAATGATGAGAGAGAATCATGGATCGGCTGCCTCCTGCAAGCCAATCGAACCCACAACCCAGTCATATAACCTGACCAGGATTGAACCATGACCTCCTGGTTCATAGGTCGATGCTCAACCACCGAGCATTGCTGGTCATGAGGCCTTGCACTGAGAGAGAAATAGACCAACATTTGGGTAAAGAGTCCTTTCAAAGTCACCAATCCAGTCCTCCTCTTTATGCCTGAGGAAAAGAAATGAAAGCCTGTAGAGGCAGTGACTAGCCAAGCTCACAGCCAGTGAATGGGAGGAACTGGCCTCAAACAGTTTTATAAAAGTGTGGGACAAGGAATCCTGGTGGTATTAATAGTCTTTGATGTTCCTCATATGATTAAACCTATGCTTTTCCTTTCCTGCCTGAGTTAGCCGCTGTGTTAGACCATCATCTCTTAGTTTTCTTAAACCTTAGATTCGACCATTGATTTAATGCCGCGTGGGGGTTTTCAGTTGACCCTCTCGGATTGCTGATTGAACCTGCGCTCACTGGTTCTCTCCCACTCCCCTCCTTGTGCTCCTGCTTCCAGAGGCTGTGTCATCGGACCCACCTTCCACTTCAATGTCCCTGCTCTGCACTTTGGGGATGTTTCCTTTGGTGAGTATTTTTCATTTTAAATTAGAAACAGAGAAGAATTACTTTTCTCTACAGGGGAGGATAAAGGTTTGCAAAGAGTCTTTCTTACCATTTTTTTTATGGGTAGAAACTGAGCGGATCTAGAATTGTTCTTCTGCAGAAGTGGCATTTCAATGCCATTTCCCCGTTTCCATGTGAAAGTTGGAACTGCGTCCCGGGCACTAACAGTTGTCAGGCCACAGCCATCCCCCTCTTCCAGCAGGGAACCGTGGAAGGCCTTCTGCTCCACTCCACCATGTGAACTTTACGAACATTCTGTTTATGTGCAGATTCTGATCTGCCAGTCTGCCACACAGCTACCTTCTCCCAGAGATGCTCTCAAGTTCAAAGTGAACTCAGTGGTGGGTCGATTCCAAATTGAAGACTCTTCTGGATTTTTGTGTTGTCTTCTCACCCAGTTACTTCTCTAAGTCATTTTCTCCCACCTAAGCTTCCCCAATAATAAAAATGATAACAGCAAAAATTCCTATTTATTGGTTCTTTCTATATATTCCAATCACTGCTAAGTGCATTACATGCAGTACTACGTTTAAACCTTTTAGCAACCCTATGGGGAGGTACTATTTAAGATCCCCATTTTAGAGATGGAAGAACTGAGCATTGAATGATTAAATAACTTCCTAAAGTCACACAGCAGAAATTAGCATTTCAGTTGAGGTGCGCTTAAATCATGTACTGTCACACAAGTGATATTGCACCCAAAGAGGCAGAAATGGGTTCTTGGAGGTTAAAACAAAACTTAGATATAACAATGGTTTGTGGTCCTCCAGAGTTCAACCCTCCCCAACAGAATCTTGTCCCTTGGTATTTAATTTCTTCATTGGGGAGAATTTAATATGATTTAAATTCTATTTAATTTCTTCATTAGGGAGAAATTAAATAGGATTTAAATCATATTAATTAAATATAATTTATTTGATTTAAAATTAATTTATCACATTGGTTCTTTTTAGGAGATGATAATTTTTAAAAAGGTTGAAAACCCCTGGTCTAAAGCCATGCTCCACAAACTTTTCCATTTTGTTCTATCGTCTCCCACTTTCACTTTCAGTTCTTTTGCATCTACTTGGGGGAAAACAGTTCTTTAGAAAAGGCTGACTAGATGCCTTTATCAATTGCTTTAACATTTGGGGGTCTGACAGTTTTATTTATACAGAATGTATTTATTTATACAGTGCCCCCCCCATCTGCATTATATTGGGTAAGATACATACCATAGGAAAATCTATATACATGAAGTTGACTATCTGTTTGTCCCTATAGAATATGAAAATGGCTGGAGAGATTCTTACAAAATTGTAGGGCATGTTTGAGTGATAGACTCTTTTGAAGGAAATAAAAATGACCTACAACTTGAAAATCATCTGGTGGCCAAGTAAGAAAGGCATCCTCTCTCAAGGGTGACTGTGACGGCTGCACAATAAGAAGTGAATTAGTGTCCCAAGACCTACGCAGTCATCCTTCAAACAGCTCAGACGGAGTCCACAGGGAGGTCTGGGCAACTGATGCGTGACAGCAGCATATCCTTCCACAGGCATCTCAAGACGGAGTCCAGCCCAAGGACATTGGGAGATGCGCCCGACATCAGATTGCCCTGGAGGGAGAACACAGAGTACAAACAAGCACCTCAAATCCGTTAGTTCAGGAAACTTCCCACCGATTCACGGTCCAGGCTGCTCTATCGCTCATCTCTGCAGTGTTGATGTAAATGCTGTCCTAATGATAGGCCTACAGCTGTTTCTCAGACTTGGTCTAGAAGTTTTGGTAACCAACTAGCTTAGGTGAAGATTAGAAGCAGCGTATTTTTCTTTCCTTGTATAATATCTTATTGAACCAGTCGATGAGACAGCTGCTGGATAAGAGGCTGGAACACTCTACAGAGCCATGACCCAAGGTTCCCGAGTCTGAGATTTGAAAACTTAACCACTCCCGAGTCTCCCCTTCAAAACCCAAGTTGCCTTTTCTTTTAGTTTGGATATGGGCTCCTTAGTCTTCTCTAGTGTGGCAGGGAATGTTAACAAAAACATAATCCTTTTTGCTTGCCAACAGGAGATCTAGGGCTACTTGGTTTGCCAAACCACTTGGGTCAGTTAATTCAAGCTACTTTTCTGTGCTTCTAGATTTTGCACTGTAACAGCCAAAATTAGAGACAATTTTATGATACCCTTTCAAAGTTATTTTATGATATTTTCAAATCCCAAAGTTGGAACTAGGGTCCTCATGACTTCAACACAAAGTCTTATTATTTTTTCCGGGTAGTTGGACCGCCCGTCACAAAGAAACACAGTTCATTGGGCAGTTATTTACCGGAAGCTTTTCATTATTATCCTGCATGTGCAAGTAGGGCTTTGATGGGGCAGATAAAAGTGAGCATGTCATTCGCACGAGAATAAAAGACCAACAAGATACATATAGTTCCAGATGTAAAAGAGAAATTTCTTATTATTTTTTCCGGGTAGTTGGACCGCCCGTCACAAAGAAACACAGTTCATTGGGCAGTTATTTACCGGAAGCTTTTCATTATTATCCTGCATGTGCAAGTAGGGCTTTGATGGGGCAGATAAAAGTGAGCATGTCATTCGCACGAGAATAAAAGACCAACAAGATACATATAGTTCCAGATGCAAAAGAGAACTGTTACAGGAGCAAGCCAGGAATTGGAGGAATTTTTTTAGTTATTTCAGGATGACAGACTTATCATGTGGAGTTAAGCAAGGTTTGCAGAGACTGTTGTAGGGTTTGGGAGTGCATGAAGCTAATGAAAGTTGGTAATATTGTCCCCATATTGGCACTAAGGCCCATTCCATTCCTGAAGAGGTGTCTGTTATAGGTTATTGTGAGAGGTGAAGATGTAGATTTGACATCAGGGTCTACTGGGATTGATGATCTTAGGAGATACCATATGTTACGGTTTAGATACTCTAAAGTAGGTTAGTATCTAACATGTTGGAAGATAACTATAAGTATTTTGATGATAGGATTAGATGTCGGATGACATATCTAATAATTAATTAGGCTGACTGAAGCTGCAATAGCATGAGAGTGTCAGATGATAGAATTGGGTGGCAATTGTCCCTGAAGGAACATTGAGGCTTCAATAAATCCTCAGAATAGTCAGAGAATAAAATGGACCAAGTAACCACTGATGTGCCAGGTGATCGGCCAAAAGGGGAAGGAGGGGGTATCTGTAAAGCCACTATTTTTCAGGAGGCACAAGAATGTGTTGGATTGAGAATAAGGAGTGTGGAAGGCTCCAGGCACTCAGTATATTTGACAATTGGACAATTTGGATTGAGAAGTTAGGGTTTGAGGGCAAAGTTTTTGAAATAAATATAAGCATTTAAAAAATGCATGATAGTTGTCTCTTCCATGACCCAGGTATGAACTGTCAGTATTTTACTCAATTATTTAAATTGTCTTTCTGAGGGTGTAGAGTAGGGAGTCAAGGGCAACACTTTCTTGTAACGATCATATAAAGATCTTAGAAAGATTGGCAGAAGCAGTCATAATAAGCACAAGCAAAGCCCACACCCAAGCAAGTTATCATTAACAGTAAGAGAGACATGACAAGGAATATCAGAATTACATAACTTGAAGATAGTAAATAGAGAATAAGATAGCCAGATGATAAAGAACAAAGTAGGCAAAGGAAAGTGTCAGGCACCTTGCAAAATCTTGTTCCACTAGGCTTGGGCAGAATCTTTCTACTTCATGTAAACACTGCTTGTTTTTGAGGAGCTTGGAATGGCAATCTATTTCTGTAGGTCAACCATTTCTGGAAGTTTTATTAGCAAACTACCATTTGAGATCTCCAGTAAAAGTGTTTTCTGCATGGCTTCAGCCAATAATTCAGTTTCTTTGGGCATCTTTTCACCCAAAGGTCTGCCTTATGGGTAACCCCAGGGTCAGTGAAGCCCCTAAAGAAGACTGTTGGTGTATTTTTTCAGATACTCATTGAAAGAAGAGAGAAGTCCTGAGGGTGAATTTTTAGGGACGGCTTCTAGACCTTATAGATGAGCTGGTTCTTGACAATATTTAGTTATGTCTGCATGAAGCAGGCTTGATTCAGACTAATAAAGGACTTGTAATTTCCTGGATTTTCTAGTTTAATAGTCGATGAGTTCCAGAGGAAATTAACCTGATCTGATGGACATTAGAACTAAAAGTAAAACTCTTCCCCAAAGAATTCCAGGAGCCTCAGAGAGCTTGGCCAATTCGAGAGAGGAAATACTGTGTTTATGCTGTACATTTCCCAAGAATTGTGGATCATGACATTTTAGATCAAATGGTTAGCGCACTGTAAGGTTCTTGATAACTCTTCTGTGTGAGGCTGCTGTTCCCCAGGAGGAAAGTTATAGTGTATAATTTCTTAGTCACATTTATGGCAGCAGCCTTTCTATATAGGGAGGCTCAAATCCATCTAAAGAATTTACAGACAATTACAGGAACATATTCTTAAATATATCATCTTTTATTTGAAAGGTTTACTGGAGTGTGATTTAAACCCATGATTCACTGCACAATTTTTCTGGAATGTGATATCCAGCTACCGAGGAAATTTTTTCCCATCAGCTCTTGTTCAGAGGCGACCTTATCTCTTCTATGATGAGATCTGTGATGTTTGTCAAAGACCAGCTCGGGCTTTGGGGCACATCACAGTTGGTGTGCAGAAGACCATTGAAGTGGACAGAGGATCCTGCCTTTAGGAAATGTTGGTGTTTCTAAGTCTGAGGCTCATTTTTTTATGTCCAAAATGGGTTGTGCAGATGTTTATTGATCTCCTGTTTCCTGCTTTATTTCTACAGACTACAACTGTTTTCCAGAATGATCTGCCAACACATTTCCCTTCACTTGGTGGGGATTTTTATTTTACTAGAAAAATGAGGAATCTCTTGTCTAAAAGATCCCATGTGTCCCCCAAAGTCCATGAATTGTAATTGAATTTTTGGTCCTGGGTATTGCTGAACAATTTTACACTCTCCTTAGCTTAGGTCCATTCTTTAGTAGAACACTTATGTTCTAAGTAGTGTAGCATCTTTTGTCAGAATTAAAACTTTTCCTTTGTTGCCTTAAAATCTTTCGCTCCTAGTTTCTTTAAGTCTTCTTAGAGGCTTCCTAGGTCAGGTGACAATATGCATATTAAATGAAAATCAAATCTCCTGAGAATATTGTTTTTAAATCAAATTTAAGTACTAGGAGAGGAATCAACGTGCTGCTGTGAATCTTTAAGGCGTTCTGACCAAGCATGTTGTTAATTATTCGAAGAAATGTTGAGTTTCTATATACTTTGATATCTCACCTCATAGATGCCAAGGAAGGGAGAATAGAGGTCTGCACTGTACAGTACTGGCATTCCGATGAGACTGTAGATAGGACATTGTTAGGCTTTGGTGCTACCAGAATCCTAGTCTTCAACAATATCCCTTTCCTTTAGGCTTTTTGACAAGCAATATTACAGGTAATGGTGTAAGGAATTGCTCTAGGTAGGAGGTTATAATTGCCTGTATTCTGAGAAAAACTAGTAGCTTCAGGAAGTAGTCTGAGCAATGGTTTAGAAGAACCCATCTGAGTCTTTATAGGCTCCACTTCCATAATATGAACACCCTGCATTAGACGAGTGTGTATCCCATAAATGGTCGGGTAAAATCAGAGTGTAAGTCAGATGTAGCAATTATATGATTGTGAAACGGACTTTCCAGCAGTTCCTCTGGAATTTTCAAGAATAATCCTTCAGATGCACTTAATCAGACAATTCTTTTTCATTAAAGATTTCTTCCAAGTTGATTGGCAGGGTGGTATCACAAAGGAGACATGAACGTGGTTCCTCTACAGCCCTATTGCGTAGACAGGGCTCAGACATGGGGAGAGGAGTAGATCAGTTCAAAATGTCCTCTGCAATACTACAGCGCTGACTCCCAGGCCAGTTGTAGAATATTGCCGCAGGGTTCAAAGCAGAAAGAGTAGTGTTTGCATGCCTATTTGTTCTCCTGTGGTCACAGATAATTCTTGTTCTGAAAGTGGTAGCAGATACAACGGGCACCTAGGGGATCCAAAATCAGAGCTCCGTTTGTTGCTTACCCGGCAAGGAGGACCCCATCTCTTTGGAAAGGAACGTGAATCTCACTGAACCGGATGTAGGAGGGCTAGCTATAGCATGAAAAAGCAGCTTTGTCTCAGGGAGGTAAAAGCCAATGTGTTGGTCTCTGTCTGGCTCAGAAGCAGATCACAAAGTTCCTCTTGGTAGAGGCTGTGATTCAGTTTTGTGTCATCGACCCTGAGGGCATGAGCCTCAGACAGGTCCAGGGTAAGTTATCTAACGTCTTGGCAGGCTCGGGATCACACAGCGGGCAAAACGCACAGGCTTCTCCTTTCACACACAGACAAATAAAAAGAGCAAACATTATTCTATTTGGGGGGGATCTGTATTTCTATGCAAAAGTTAAATGCAAAATATCTTTCTAGAAGACTGCTCAGCAAACTGATAACAGAGGCCAGCTCTTGGGAGGATGGTGATTTTATGTCTATTGTCGCTGCATAGTAAATGAATAAGTATTCATTGAATGAATGAATGAATGAATGAATGAATGTATTTATTGATTTACAATTGAAAACAGTATGGGGGAGAGTTAGAATTAAGCAAGTAGTGCTGAATTGTGTAGACAATTTATTTGAGAGGTCTGGCAGCTGAGGGGGTTGAAGTTAAAGGGAGGCTATTGTGGGGCTTTTCTCACCCCATATTTTGTTTTCCAGGGTTTCCTCACACCTTGATATGTTCCCTCAATAACACCTCCTTGGTCCCCATGACCTTCAAACTGCGCATCCCTGGCGACGGCCATGAAAGCATTTCAAGCTGTGAGCAATATACAGACACCAAAGGACCTTCTTGGAACAAGGAGGAAATACCCATAACGAAACCGAAAGAATTTACCATCACCCCCAACTGTGGCACCATTCGCTCCCAAGGATTCGCTGCTATCAGGGTAAAGTGCACACACCCCAGGCAGCTGAGCTCTCAGATGGCCACGGGGACCACACCCAGGGTTTGCTCTACATGCCCAGAGCCCGTGGGAAGGAGAGCCTCGGTTCACATGGAAACGTGGGCCTATCAGGAAACAAACCACTGTGGTGAAAGAAACCGGACACAAATACATTGACACCGCTCCGTGGATTTCCATCCACCTCAGTGTGTGGCCTCCACCAGATCAGGGGGTTGTAGGGATTTCTAGTGAAACCACTGCTCTCCACAGACAGCGCACCCATCAGCACAGATATAACAAGGTTTAAGGACTCAGTGATAATTAGGACCTCCTTTACGTGAGACTCAAATCGTTTATACCAATAAATGTCCACATTTATGCCACAGATGACATCCCGTTGATTCAGGTTTTTAGTCTGAACCTGGGCTTCATAGTGAATGTGGATTCCATGTTTCTAACAGGGCTTAATATTTGGCTGTCAGTGCCGCCAGCAGAATTAATTCATGGCTAACTGAGAAAGTTTTCCTGTCCTCTCTCACTGACTTTTTCTTCTCCAAACAGTCAGATCTAGCAATATTGAATGCTGCAAAATTGAAATGATTTTATCTTTTCTGGAAAAGAAAAAAAGATAAGACTTTATAGCTAAGGTTAATAATTTCCTTTTTAGTCACTGTCTGTGAATATTTAATTTAGCTATGGTTTTATCCCCCCCAAGATTGTTTTAAATGCTTCATAATATCTCACCATGAATTCACTCATCCTAACTCTTTCCTGTTTTGTTTTGTTTTGTTTTTGTTTTTGTTCTTTCAAGGGCTTCTCCATGGGTCCAATGAGGTTTGATTTCATTTATTGTTATAACCTCTCAGGATTACTATCGCAGTCTATTTGGGCTGCTCTTATAAAATACCAGAGACCGGGTTGCTTATAAACAACAGATTTATTTCTCATAGGTCTGGAGGCAGGATGTTGAGATCAGGAGCCAGCATGCTTGGGTTCTGGTGAAGGCATTCTTCCAGCTTGCAGGCTACTGACTTCTTCCATCCTCACATGGTGGAAGGGCTAGGGAGTTCTGTTGGCCCTCTTTTATAAGGGCACTAATCCTGTTCATGAAGGCCCCACCCTCATGACTTAATCACCTCCCAATGGCCCCACCTCCTAATACTATCACATTAGGGGTTCAGATTTCAACATAGGAATTTGGGGAGGGCATAACCATTCACAAATCATAGTTGCTAACTGTGAATTTCCCAGAGAGAAGAGCTGTTGCAATGAATTTATTTAATTTTTTATTTCTTAATGTTCAGCCTACCTGTTAGTTACCTTCCCTTTTTTTTTTTTGCCTCTCTCACATAGTACAGGAAGATTTGAGAAGACGTAGATCTATCTAGCAGCCTTCTGCCAGAACCACATGTTTTTCTGCCTCCTAACCACAGCTCAGAGACATAAACAAGGGCAGATCACTCCAGGAATCTCTGCACACAGGGGCAGCTGCCTCTCTCCAAATCGGACACATCTTCTTTCCAAATCAATGACCCCATCTTCACTTTATTTTTCCTTTCTGTTTGGAAAAGCTTTCTCCAAGCTTCAATTTTCCCTCATGATCTGTACTCCAACCACGTCTCTGTGGACTCAACTTTGCATCCAGTAATTCCCTCTGCAACTAAAAAAAATTTTAATTAGTACCTGATACATAATGTATAGCTAGAAAAGCCTTAACCTGTGCCAGAAGCTGTCTTCTAGACTTACACGCATCCCTTCCAGTACAAATCATTGTAAAGCAATTAAAATCGTAACAAGGCTTCAAAAGCCTAAATGTAATGTTGCACAACAGTAAATAAAACACGGGGTGAAACATACTGGCCAGATATTGTCCTTAGGCAGGCCTTTCGTTGGCACCTCTATTTTCTGCTTTAATAATGAATATGGGGGCGGGGACAAGATTTTGTTAAAAAGAAAAAGCCACACACATAACACAAAACTAGCTGATTTTCCATGCCATTTTCTACTACTGACATGGTTATGTCGTGTATTTTGCTATAAGAGAAATTTAGCTGCAGTGCTTTATTGGTGTACTAAATTTTCATAATTAATATAGCCCAGAGGTATGGGAAACGACTTCAATTGCAATAAAGTTTGCTTGATGTTGCTCATCCTTCATGGTCACTTCCCCCCCTTATGTAGGTACACGGCTTCTTTGATAACAACCTCCTCAGAAATGAGCCAACCTATTGTACTAAAAGCCACTGGGCTTCTGACCTGGCCTTTGAAAAAACTCAGCATGCCCTGACCCCGAAATGCAACTGGTTCAACTAAAAGTGTAAAATGCCATGCACCCCACAATCAAGTACTCAGAAGCCGCACTCCTCAGTGGGGTTGTCCCCGGGCTCCCCTCTCCCCGCCGCAGGGGGAGAGCTGAGCTTTTAGAAGAGCAGCTTTTCACCTTTTGCTTTCCAGGTGACCTTATGCTCCAACACTGTGCAGAAATACGAGCTGGCCCTGGTGGTGGACGTGGAGGGCATCGGGGAAGAAGTGCTGGCGCTCCTCATTACAGCGAGGTATCACTCACCTGCTCCCCTCTCCCCAGTCTGCCTGGGCCCCAGGAAGGGCTGCCTCTTCAGAAGGCTGCAGGCCTGCAAATGGCTCACACTGCATTTATTTGTCCTGCTTTCTCTGAAGGGAGGCTGAATGCGATTCAAATGACAAAGCTTTCAAACAGCAAATGAACCTTCTGTGGAAATAAGAGAAGGGTGTGTGTGTGTGTGTGTGTGTGTGTTGTTCGAAGAATACTGGTGCTCTCTCTTTTTGACTTTCTGACTTTCCAGGTATATAACTAAAAGGATTTTAGCAGAAAGATGTGAACAGTTGCTGTTTTTTATTTTTATCATTAACTACAGTACCCCTGAGGTCTGTAGCAGAAAGAATGGTGCCTACAGTTCTGCAGTGGACGATCCATTTAGCAAGACAGTCCTGCTCCGGGCTGCAAGCGGACATGTGTGTGTTGTTCGAAGAATACTGGTGCTCTCTCTTTTTGACTTTCTGACTTTCCAGGTATATAACTAAAAGGATTTTAGCAGAAAGATGTGAACAGTTGCTGTTTTTTATTTTTATCATTAAATACAGTTCCCCTGAGGTCTGCATCAGAAAGAATGGTGCCCACAGTTCTGCAGTGGACGATTCATTTAGCAAGACAGTCTTGCTCCGGGCTGCAAGCGGGCGCCCAAACAAGGCCCTCTCTAACTATAAACTCCTCAGAACCATCACCAACTTCTCTATTTTAAAAAAATATTTTTTATTGCTTTCACCTCTCTAACTATAAACTCCTCAGAACCATCACCAACTTCCCTATTTAAAAAAAATATTTTTGATTGCTTTCAGAGAGGGAGAGAGAGATAGAAACATCAATGATAAGAATCATTGATTGACTGCCTCCTGCACAGCCCCTCCTGGGGATGGGGCCCGCATCCGAGGCATGTGCCCTGATGAGGGGTCAAATCATGACCTCCTGGTTCATAGGTCAACACTCAACCACTGAACAACCCCAGCTGGGCAGCTTCTCTCTTTTTTAACAGAGACAGCAATGAGCTCTGGAGTCAGGTTAAGATCCTGGCTTGCTTTGTTGACTATGTCTCCTTGACCAAGTTACCGTCTTTCTACTGATGGTGACAGTGACCCTAAATACAATAATCGACCGCACTGTTGCCAAAGCAAACGAGGGTCCAGATCTGGGACTTTAGAGTGTACATATGAAAATGCCATCTAAAGGAAATAGAAAAAATTTCTGGCAATATATCAATTCCTAGAATTTAGGTCTGTCATGAATCTTAAGAAAATGCACCTTAAAGAAGGTGCAGACCTAGTGGTTGGTGGAGGCAGCATAAGGGGCACCTTTGCATGTGCCTTGGGCTTGGACGAAGTCCAAGAGCAGCCCTAAAAGAACTTGAAGGTCAAGGTCTTGTCCTAATCTATTTACTCAGTATCCCTTCCAAACACCTAAGAAATTTCTTTGTTTGTTTAAAAAACATGCAGTCTTTCATCTGGTCCTGTCTATACCCAAGTTGGCCTTTTTGTCTAGTCTTGCATTTTTCTATGTGGGTTTATTCTGATACTCTCCAGCCTCTTTTCCCTACAGCTATCAATAGGAAAAATCCGATTTTTTTAAAAAGAAGGCCTGCCTGGCCGATGTGGCAGTGGTTAAGTGTGGAGCTATAAACCATGAGGTCGTGCTTTGATTCCAGTCAGGGCACATGCCCAGGTTGCGGGCTCAGTCCCCAGTGGGAGGCATATAAGAGGCAGCCGATCAATGATCCTCCCTCATCACTGATGTTCCTCTCTCTCTCCCTCTCCCTTCCTCTCTGAAAGCAATAAAAGAATTTTTTTTAAAAAAAAAGGTCCTAGGAGGCTATGAGTTTCTGTCACGTATACTCTGTGACCCACGGCTCAGTCCCCAGTGGGAGGCATATAAGAGGCAGCCGATCAATGATCCTCCCTCATCACTGATGTTCCTCTCTCTCCCCCTCTCCCTTCCTCTCTGAAAGCAATAAAATAATTTTTTTTTTAAAAAAAGGTCCTAGGAGGCTATGAGTTTCTATCACGTATACTCTGTGACCCACATCAAGTACTAACTATGAACCCTCTCAGCCACAGCATTTCAGGTAGTAAAGGATTAGCTTTTGAAAGTCATTGGGCCAGCTGACAACTTCCATTTTAGCTAAAAACGAACACTCATCCCATGTGAAATCTCAAGCTTTGGGGTCAACAGGACTCTCTTTCCTGTCATTACAGTACTTCTCTGTAATCTGTAGAAACTGCTCAAACGCTCTCAACAGAGAATTGCTTTTCGAACTTGCTCTCTCAAGTGATTTTCCCAGAGAGCCAGCAGTGATGGCTTGCCGTGCCCCCTCCCGCACACCAGTCGCCTCTTACTGAGCCCTCCCGTGGCACTGTGCTAGGCCCTGCATTCACATTAGAAAATTTCTGGCAATATATCAATTCCTAGAATTTAGGTCTGTCATGAATCTTAAGAAAATGCACCTTAAAGAAGGTGCAGACCTAGTGGTTGGTGGAGGCAGCATAAGGGGCACCTTTGCATGTGCCTTGGGCTTGGACGAAGTCCAAGAGCAGCCCTAAAAGAACTTGAAGGTCAAGGTCTTGTCCTAATCTATTTACTCAGTATCCCTTCCAAACACCTAAGAAATTTCTTTGTTTGTTTAAAAAACATGCAGTCTTTCATCTGGTCCTGTCTATATCCAAGTTGGCCTTTTTGTCTAGTCTTGCATTTTTCTATGTGGGTTTATTCTGATACTCTCCAGCCTCTTTTCCCTACAGCTATCAATAGGAAAAATCCGATTTTTTTAAAAAGAAGGCCTGCCTGGCCGATGTGGCAGTGGTTAAGTGTGGAGCTATAAACCATGAGGTCGTGCTTTGATTCCGGTCAGGGCACATGCCCAGGTTGTGGGCTCAGTCCCCAGTGGGAGGCATATAAGAGGCAGCTGATCAATGATCCTCCCTCATCACTGATGTTCCTCTCTCTCCCCCTCTCCCTTCCTCTCTGAAAGCAATAAAATAATTTTTTTTTTAAAAAAAGGTCCTAGGAGGCTATGAGTTTCTATCACGTATACTCTGTGACCCACATCAAGTACTAACTATGAACCCTCTCAGCCACAGCATTTCAGGTAGTAAAGGATTAGCTTTTGAAAGTCATTGGGCCAGCTGACAACTTCCATTTTAGCTAAAAACGAACACTCATCCCATGTGAAATCTCAAGCTTTGGGGTCAACAGGACTCTCTTTCCTGTCATTACAGTACTTTTCTGTAATCTGTAGAAACTGCTCAAACGCTCTCAACAGAGAATTGCTTTTCGAACTTGCTCTCTCAAGTGATTTTCCCAGAGAGCTAGCAGTGATGGCTTGCCGTGCCCCCTCCCGCACACCAGTCGCCTCTTACTGAGCCCTCCCGTGGCACTGTGCTAGGTCCTGCATTCACATTAGCTCCTGTATTTCCCACGGTTCCCTAAGAAGAGTTTTTGATGCTGCTGTCAACCCCTGGAGTGACCTGCATTTTATTTATAAGCAACATGGGGCTCTAGGAGGGAAAACAACTCGCGCAAGGTTGTGCTTGAACCTGGCTCAGTCTGCCCCAAATGCCAGCTCTCCTCACCACGGCGCTATATGGTGACAGTGCAGCTGGGCAGGGCAGATGCTGAGATTCACAGACACAAATAAAACCCAAGCCACCTAATGATAGACCAGCTGCACACACAGGGCTGCAATTCCTCCCTCTCCAGCACACACCCCTCCCTCCCTCCAGCGCCCCCACACCCTCTGTTGCCAGGGCACCAGCTCTGGGTCCGGCAGCTGCCTGAGCCTGCTGATCCAAGACAGCTGTTCTGCATAGGAATTAGAATTATTACCATGATTTAGCTGGTGTGAGCTGTTACCAGCCCTCAGGGGGCTCTGGCTGGTCCAAAGTGTCACAGCCAGTTAGGACCCCACGCTGGTGGCATCGCCCCTGTTTGTCAGGGAAACAGGTTCACTACCCTAAGGAACCTGTCCTGTGGGGGTCCCTTGCCAAAGAAAGGCGAAGTATGAAAAACAATGGGAATGTTAGTCATTACCCACAGATGACAGCTGTGTAAGGAGTCCTGCTTCCAGCCCTTTTTTGATTAAAAATGATGACTGGGGGCTGAGGGAGGGAGGGAGGGAAGGCAAGGAGAGAAGATGTGAAAGTGATTAATGTAGTTATTAGAGAAAAATACTATGTGACAGTAACAAATGTGTTTAACTTGGGACTCTTCGTTCCCCATATGTAAACAAGCTTTCTGTCCTTTTAAATTCTTTAATGGGCTCCTTCCTTTGAGCAGGTGTATTGTACCTGCCCTCCACATGGCTAATGCAGAGGTGGACTTCGGGCGCTGCTTCCTGAAATACCCGTACGAGAAAACCATCCAGCTTGTCAACCCGGATGACCTCCCAGGATGCTACGAGGTCCTGCCCCAGGTGAGTGACTGGATCCTTTTTCGGTGTTGATTTTTCTGCAGTTGGATTCCCTCAATAAGAGAGAGATATCCCTCTCAGGAGCCATATTCCTAAACACGTGACCTTGTGTCATTCTGACTTTTAACCCTGGGATAATCTGGGGATGGGGTCATGAAGCCACAGCTGGCTTGCCACCTGCAAGCGTGAGCAGCTGCAGGTGTAAGCAGTTGCTAATTTCCCAGGAAAATTGCCTTTGACAAAGAAAGCGTCAATTAAGCCAACACGCAGAAGTTGCACCTGCAGATAATTGCCTGGGAATGAGCCATGCATGGGGAATGAGGCAGAGCTGGGGGTTTTCATTTATGTCCATGGCCGTGACGTGAACCGCTTCACTAAGATAAGGTAATGCAATATTTATATGCTGGACTAGAAGGCTAGAGATATACAGGAGTGAGAAAGGAGAAAGTGCCTCTTAATATTTTATGAAATAGATTGTCCACATGCCACTACCCCTGGCCAGGTGGGAGACTAAGCAGTCAAATGCGCATGGACTAGAGATTTTAAAAATCTTTTGTGCAACCCAGAGGAATGGAAGGTTCCTAATGAGATGCAGCTTACCCAGAGCGCATTTGGGTTTGAACTCAGTTCCGTAAGGACAGTACTCTGATAAAAACTCATGCAAACAAAAACAAATGGGGGACATTTGATTTTGGCTACAAGTTCAAAATGAGTTAAAAGACCAATGTGGGGACCACAGAACCAAGGCAGGCTTAGGCCCATCAGAGAAACATGTGTTTAGCCAGAGAAAGGAGGTGGCCGCCATCAACGCAGAAATTTGTCTTCAGATCTTGACATTGTATTTTTGTAATAGAAACCTGGGTGGAAAAAAATGAATCATGTTCCAAGTAACCAGAGTGGCAATCTATGTGATCTGAAAAATCCAAGTCATATTAGGGGCATACGTAGTATTTAATCTGGAACAGAAAAGACTTAACCCTGCCAAAATAGCTACCCTTCATCAGCCGAGGGGCTGGTATGTAAAAGAGGGGATTGCAGTTATTCGGGGGGCTTCTCTGAGACAAAACCTGAAGGCAAGGGTGGGGGGGGCACAGGGGACAGCTCCTCCAACTTTCAGATGCTTAACAGCACAGCAGGCCAGCCCTGCGCAGTGCAGGTCACCTCAACAACTCTGAGCAGAGCCTGCATCTGGGGTGATGGGGAAGGTATTTCTTCACAACTGGGCTGGGGAAAGGGTGAGGTGCTTGCCTCAAGCACAACATTTAAGGTGGAGCCAATAAATTCAAAATAATCAAGATTAACATTTTCATGCCACATTTTATGAAATCAATATTAATGAAAAGTCCATGATGAACGAAATATAAAAACTTTATATAAAGACAGAATCAGTATTACAGTGGGGCCTTGACTTACGAGTTTAATTCGTTCTGAGACCGAGCTCGTTAAGGAGCTCTTAACTCAAATTACTCTATCAACTCAATGCAAAAAATCGGCAGAGAGACAGCTGGTATCTCAAAAAACTCGTTAGTCAGGACACTTGTAAGTCAAGGCCCCACTGTACTGGTTTTCCTTATGCCTCAAGCTCCAACGAGGCAGAGGGACATGCAGGTAGATGAGGCCGCGTTAACCCAGTCCAGGCAGGGAAAGACGGCGGGGTGCTCCGGACAGGTGACACCTGCATGCTCTGCCGTCCTCTCCAAGAGCCCAGCTTCTGAGGAGTGCTTCCCAGAATTCCCTAAACTTATTTGGCCATGGGGTTTTTAAGGTTTTGTTAGTGGTTGTTGTCATTGTACAAGAGCTAGTGATAGGCTGGGCAGCGTTCATTGGTAGACACTGGTCAACATTCATTCATTTGCCCACCTATTTCCCCATTTAAAAACCCATTTAAAAAACATGTACTGAGCATATGTTTTGGGCTAGAAAGTGGGCATTCAGAAGAGGCTCAGGTTGTGCCCTAAGCAGAGTCCAGCCCATGGTGACAATGGACACATCGATAGTGTGGGCTGTGGAAAAGGACTGCAGGATGCTCAACTCCAGGGCACTGGGATCCCTGGGGGATTCAGGGCGAGGGTGCAGGCAGGTCAAAGGGAGCGGGCATTCCAGGAAGAAGAAACACGTGCCAAGAGCTGGAGGTAGGGGCAGCACCATGTGTTCGGGAAGTACCAGTGGCCTCTCTTGGTGGAACACAAAGGGACAAAGTGGAGGGAGTGTGGAGGGCCAGGTAGGGAAGGTGGCCATGGGCAGCTGCTGTCCTGAACGGATTCATGTTGTGGATAATCTCTATATCCTGTTGGGTTGTGCACTTTGAATTTAGGGCCTTATGCACACTCAACTCAATCAAACTCCCTTTTGGCAGAATTGGGGTGCTCATCCCTACATACTTGCTTAAACAATGAGACATTTCTAAAGAACCTCCATGGACACAGGACAACACTTGTTGCAAAATAATCTAATCTGCTATTGATTGTATACCCTGTCGGGGGCTTGCTGATCTCTCTGGCTTGTCTCTCCCACCAGGTAGATGAGGACTCGCCCGCTGTGTTGCTCTCTAGTCCCACCCCCTATGGAATCATCCCTCCCCAGAGCACCGTCCACATCCCTCTGATCTTGGAGACCCAGGTCACCGGGGAGCACAGGTCCACGATTTACATCTCGGTCTTCGGGAGCCAGGGCCACCCTGTGGTGAGAGACGGTTTTCAGATTGCAGTCACATTGCTGTACTTCTTACCAAACCACACGCCTCCGCTTTTAAGGCACAAGCCATATTTGCATGTCCTCCCGTTGTTTGTCGTTCTAGAATTCTACACTTTCACTCCCTGGTAAAAAACAAAAAAACAAAAAAACGAGCAGTACGGTACTTGGGGAATCTATTTGCGGATATCTCCAAAAGAGTGGTGTTTGTAGCACTTGTTCTGAAACCCCTTTAAGGAGGTTTTCACACAGAGACATGCCTGACCCTCTCGAGACCTATCAGGTCGGAATCTCTGCCAGGACAGCACACCTGTGTATATATATTTAAAATGAGTGATTCTCTTTTTAAAAAAAATATTTTGTTTATTGAAAATGCAGCTCGTGTGAGGACCACTTGCTGAGCAGCCAGCACTTTATGAAAGAAAAAAAGCCCCTTTTCTGGCTGAGGACACAGGGCGAGGGGCGTGGAGCAAGGTGGATCTCAGCCCCCAGCCTGCACAGCTGTGTGTGGCGGACAGCCCTGTGTGCCACTAGACAAGCCGCAGAACACGGCTCAATCCAGCCACTTCCAATTCTTTTTTTAATATACTAGTATATATTTTTATAGATTTCAGAGAGGAAGGGAGAGGGAGAAAGAGATAGAAACACCAATGATGAGAGAGAATCATTGATCGGCTGCCTCCTGCATGCCCTACACTGGGGATCAAGCCCTCAACCTAGGCTCGTGCCCTGACCCGGAATCGAACCGTGGCCTCCTGGTTCATAGGTTTACGTTCAACCACTGAGCCATGCCGGCCAGGCCACTTCCTATTCTTACGTGCCAGTCCTCAGCCCCGTGCTGAGTGTTCTTGAGGCTGGAGTAGTGGGTGGCAGATAGAGGACCGTTATCTGGTTTCCCCTCGGTGCACAGCTCCGGGCTGACCCAGGGAAGCAGACCACCCTGGAGGGAGTTCAGACTGGATTCAGAGGTCTGACCGGCATGGCCGTCCCTGTGTCCCTCTGACCGCAGAGTACCGGGGGGAGGGAGTGAGGTCCTCCTGAGCAACCTTTTGTGCCCCTGCTTCTTGCTGAAGAGGTGGCTAGAAACTTCTGTTTCAATCGAATTGAAAGGCCAGCCACTTTCAGCTGTTCCCGTGTTCCTTCTGTGTCCGGGAGCACAGGTGTGCCAGCTGAGGAGCATCGGAGAAGGCCCGGTGATCTGCGTCTGTCCCCACCAGGTGGATTTTGGCAAGATCTTCGTCCTGAAGGAGTCCTCCAGGGTTATCAACCTCTCTAACCAGTCCCCCATCCCTGGATTATTTCAGGCACACATGGTGAGTAGGCTATGGGACTCCCGTGTGATTGAAATACAGCCCTGTCTTTGCAACAAGCCTTTGAAAATGACCGCCAGACGCAGACAGTTACCTGGTTCAACTGCATGCAACTGTGTCATTCTCATCCTCAGTTCCTTTTCATGGTAGTCATTCTGTTGACTAAGAAAAACAATATGCATGTGCAAAACAATACGCAAGCAAATATATTTACTGTCCCAGAGATTTCCTTACTGAACTGCACCCAAGCCCAGCCCCACATCTCAAGAAAACACCTTTTACATGTCTCTGTCACTGAAAATGCTTCCTTATGTGGAATTTGAACCCTTTTGGCTACAAATTTGTTGGTATGCTTACTTTTATTCTCTCTTCCTTCTAGCAATAGTTTAACATAGTGTATAAGGATGTATGAAATACAATAAGGTAGTATTTGCCAAAGGTAGAAATTAAAGAGTGAGGCAAAGATAGATAGAAAATAAGTCTGTCTTATTTCTGTGTATTCTGTAGTGACAGTTAGATTTGCAGGTCTTCTATAAACTAAGTTTTGAACAGGGATAATATATTCTTTTTGCAGAATTTAGGAATTTCTAATCCAGTAATTGAAGTATTCTTGGTTTTGGAAAACATTTTCTAAATTTAAGTATAACATTTAAAATAGTATAGCCCTTCTCCTATTCATAAATTATTGACATTTGAATGAGTGCTAACATTTGATTTTAGTATTTGTCAGATATTTTTTAATTTTATAAAAGTCCCTGTCAGAATGAATAGGATCGTAGTTTTCTGCTGACTCATGACAGCTCCTCAGAGTCATTGGTCCCAATTAGCAGCCATTCACCATGATCATTATTCCATTTTATCACCTTTTGTCATTGCTCCTTGTAGAGACAGCCATTTCCCAGTCACTGCTCTTTTTAACATGAGGCTCAGACACAACCCCACTCTCCTTCCAGTGCCTTTGGACCTTGTGTAGAGAATAATTAAAGAAAATTCCTACAGAAAAGATGCCTTTGCTAGTGTTTATCCAATTAATTGACGTGTTTGGTGGAAAGCATGGGAGTTGATGGGTTTGGTGAATTGCTTAAGAAGTGTTGCTTCCAATTCAGTTTCTTAAAAAATATTTTATTATTGTTGACTGTATTACAGATATTGCTGACAGATATCCCCCTAATTCCCCCACTTTGCCCCTCTCCACCCAGTCCCTGCCCCATCCCAGACCATCCCACACTATTGTCTGTGTCTATGGGCTATGCATATATGTATATAAGTTCTTTGGTTAATCTCTTCCTACCTCCCCCCCACTTCCCCCCTCGCCCTCCCCGCCCCCGAGCTTCTTCAGTCTGTTCCATGCATCCGTGCCTCTGGATCTATTTTGTTCATTAGATTCCACATATAAGTGAGACCATGTGATATTAGTCTTTCTATGACTGGCTTATTTCACTCAGCATAAAATTAGGTCCAACCATTCTGTCACAAAGGGTAAGAGATCCTTCTTTTTTACAGCTCTGTCATATTCCATCGTGTGAACATACCACAGCCGTTTTATCCACTCATTTACTGATGGGCACTTGGGCTGTTTCCAGATCTTAGGAATTGTAAATAGCACTGCTATGAACATAGGGGTGCATACATTCTTTCTGATTGGTGTTTCAGGCTTCTTAGTATATAATCCTAAAAGTGGAGTTGCTGGGTCAAATGGTAGTTCCATTTTAAATTTTTGTAGTAAATTCCATACTGTTTTCCACAGTGGCTGCACCAATCTGCATTCCCACCTGTAGTGTATAAGCATTCCCGCTTCCCCACATCCTCACCAGCCCTTGTTGTTTGTTGATTTATTGATGGCAGCCATTCTGGCAGGTGTGAGGTGAGTCCAGTTGTATGTGTAGCGTTCACATTGGTGGAGCAAAAGAGTGTTTTTGGTACATTTCAAGAACAGAGAGCAGGTCAAGAATCTATTGTTGTTTTTGCTAATCTATTGAATGACCCAACTAGGTGTTAAAGTGGGACTTTCCCTTTCCACAAAGGTTTCATGATGCCATCTTTTGATGCTTTCACATCATCTTAAGTCAGCCAGCTCCGGTTCCGAGGAGCCAAATGTGTGCTCTAAGTCAGCGGTCGCCACCCTTTCGGACCTCACGGACCACCAGTGGTCTGCGGACCACCGGTTGGCGACCGCTGCTCTAAGTGACCTGCTGTAGAACGTGCTTTCCCCTCAGTCCTGTCTCAGAAAGCCGGTGTCTATTGAGTTGACCGCCCTTATAGCATCAAAGTTATTTCAACTCTAAGTCTCATGGGTGAAAATGAAACTCTTCATATTTCCACTGGGATTTTTGCTGGATTTCCTAGTAAATACTATGTGTGTTAATATTATAGAAATCAAATTACACTAACTTAGAAATTAACTACAGTGGGAAGAAATAGAAATACCTTTTATTAAATTTCAACTTAATATACAATACTAAAACTGCAGAGTCATTCTTACAGGGATTACTAAGCATTAGGAAATAGTTTTTGTTTTGTTTTTTAATCCTCACCCAAGGATATTTTTCCCCATTAATTTTTAGAGAGAGTAGAAGCGGGGGAAAGACAGAGAGAGAAAAACATCGCTGTTACAGACATATCAGTTGGGGCCGAAGATCAAGCTTGCAACCGAAGTGTGTGCCCTTGACTGAATCAAACCCAGGACCTTTCAGTTCACAGGCTAACATTCTAACCACTGAACCAAACCAGTCAGAGCAAGAAATAGTTTTAATTAATAGTTATCTTTTCCCTAGCTAAGCCTGCAGCTCAGAACCCAGGTAAATTGTGCTCAGATATTTCTTGCACTTAATTTCTAGCTCAGTGAGAAGTAAGTAGGGTCAAGGACGCACTGTTCACCTCTCCTATTTCTATGAATTCAGGTCTAGAAGTTCTTTTCTTTCCCTGTGGCTGCCCTGACGGGAGGGGTCATCCTCGCTCCTCTTCTGGCTGCCAGTGAAGGTCAGCCCTCCCTCCCCAGCTGCGGGCCCCACTGTCAGCCATCTGTCCTGCTCAGCCTTGCACATCAGGACAGACATTGTGATTAGATTCTCCCTCAGGAAGAAACATCTGTTTGTTTTCAGTTGGAGGGGCCTGGAGATGGGAAGCTGGAAGCCCACCTTCCCTGTGATGTTGGGAAGATAAATGACCCTAAGAGCGATTTTGAATTTCTCAGAAATAAATGCTAAACAAAAAAAAATTGATTTTTTTTCAACACTGAATTCCTTGGTATAATATGTGTGAAGATTGTGTTTTTTTTTCTGTTCCATTAAAGCTTAACTTATCCTGAGAGTTAAAAAAAAAAAATTGATTAGTAAAAGAAGAGTGTATTGTGGCCGGGAGCAGTAATTTCTCCTTTGCTGTGGAATGCCTGAAATACCAACCTCCCCGAAGGCTTCCCAATGCAGACTTAGAACAATAGAGTGAGTCACCTTGGTTTGGAGGGTAAAAAACGCCAGAATGTGAGCGCAGAGCACAAAGGCCCTCTTGGCAAGAACTTTCGGGCTCTGCTTGTACGCACAGTGCTCCTCCGGGAAGATGGATGTCCTTTCTCCTGGTGACACCAGAAATGAGGGTGAGAAGATAGTGGCTCCCCAGGGCCTGGCCCTCAGCGCTGGGCTGGACACAGATGCCTTGTTTGCATGGGTGCCCCTCACCAGGTAGAGCAAGCGCCTTCATTCATTGCTCAGCGCTTGTTTGAAAGCATCTGGAGCCCTTTCCCTTTTCATCTGGGCTCTAATGCAGCCTCGGGTACCATTAACTTGAGAACGTGTATGCAGATGTCAGTGACACCTTGGGATCCAGCGGGCGCTGAAACGTCTCCACAGCGACCTTCTGCCTCTGTGGTCTGCGGGAGAGGCCGTGCAGTTAGATTGGAGTTTTCAGGATCCAGGAGACAGGAATTCTGTGCCTCATTCAGGCGTGGCGCTTTTTAGGCATCTGTATTCTTGGTCACTTGCCAGACATCAAGGGAATCGTTGGGCCTTTACATCTCCTGCGGACCCTAAGCCACCAGGTCATTTCTTCGTTCAAATGGGGACACCCTTTCTATATTTACTTGTTTATCTGCCTGTCTCCTTCAAATGACAAGGGTCTATCCAGGGGTCCTCAAACTTTTTAAACAGGGGGCCAGTTTACTGTCCCTCAGACCGTTGGAGGGCCGGACTATAGTTTAAAAAAAAACTATGAACAAATTCCTATGCACACTGCACATATCTTATTTTGAAGTAAAAAAAACAAAACGGGAACAAATACAATATTTGTATTTGCATGTGGCCCGCGGGCCGTAGTTTGAGGACCCCTGGTCTATGCTTTGAGTTCCCTACACCTAGCAGCAGGATTGGCAGTTATAAAGATGACAATACAATGACATTAATTATGACTAATGTTTATGTCGTTCTGTTTGCGACTTTAGATGCTGCATTTCATTTACTATGACTCTGAGAGAAATACTGTTACAATGCCCATTTTAAACAGGTAGAGACAGAGGAGCAGACAGGATAAGTAAAGGGCCATAACCTGAAGTGGCAGAGCCTGGTCCTCACTCCTGGGGGTCTGATTCCAGACCCGTGCTCTCTTCCCTGGGGCTGCTGTGCTGCCTAACTTTGCCTAATCAGTGGTTACACTAGTAAAAATGAACTTAGAAATGGTGAAAAGATATTGGTTTGGGGTTCATAAAAGACCCTTAAAGATAGACACCTAGCCCGGCCAGCGTGGCTCAGTGGTTGAGCGTCCACGTATGAACCAGGAGATCACTGTTCAATTCCTGGTCAGGGCACATGCCCAAGTTGTGGGCTCGATCCCCATTGGGGGTCGTTCAGGAAGCAGCCGACCAATGAGTCTCTCTCACCATTGATGTTTCTATCTCTCTCTTCCTCTCTCAGAAATCAATAAAAATATATATTTTTAAAAGATAGACACCTAGAAGAGCAGGTTTTGCTAAAAGAACAAGAGAAGAAATTGAGCATTTCTGAAATAGACAAAAG